CAGCATTGAACCCTCGATCCGTCCCATTAATATTTGGTTATGTGACTGTATCTTCTTGTACGGTGACCCGATATCCAGTTAGTTAGTTAGTTAGTTAGTTACAGTGTTCTGTTGCTAATTCACTCGACTGGGACCTCACATATACTGCGAGAATTGATTTAGGTTCTTGGATATATGCTTTTTGTGTGATGTATAAAGTCATAGTGGTACATTGTACACTAATGTCAATTTTTAACGCCCCATTATTATTCTTTTTTATTTGCGTAATTTTTATTCCTTTTTTGGAATTGAATATCTTTGAGAGTGCTCTTAATTTGTTTACAAGAAACGGGCACCAGATGACATGACTGTTTCAACATGTGATCAACAATGTGATCCTTGATGACTGTACTCGCCGAATAAATCAGTATTTAGTGTTAATTGTGAACAAATAAATGCATCCTGTGAAGTTATCGGAACCTGAAAGTGTGTAGCGACCGTTACATCCTTTGTCATAAATCATGTCTCCTTAACACTTCCGTAGGTTCGCGTCGCCGGGCATTATGCCTAATATGTACCATTTTTTTATCCAGAATAGTCCGCAAAGTTAATTAATATGGTAGAGTGTTGGTGTTGTGGCGCACAAAATCCCATAGACAATACACAGGAAACGCTGCGCCATGGCCCATACACACGATAATACTAAATTAGTTTTACCAATATCCAAAAAAAATTGTTACCCCCAAATTCCACACAAAGGGAATATCCACCAAGCTTTAAACAAACTCAACTTTGAGTGCCCGCTGCAAACCCCAGAACCTATTTTTAAGGGCAGCAATCACCGATTCCATCTCTGACTGATTGTATTTTTTATTAAATGGTGAATGGGCCTGCCATACGTGCTTGGCAAACTTAGGGGGGAAGTTGGCTAGGGGGCGAGTCGGTCAGGGGGCGAGTTGGTAAGGGGCGAGCTGGTAAGGGGCGAGTCGGCCAGGGGGCGAGTTGACCTACAATCCTAACAATGACCAGCAGGATACTTGAAATGCCTACCTTGTCAATCTTGGGTGCAACAGCAAGAATATGGCGGCCGAGTTGCCAGCCAGCTTCTCGGAATAACCATATGCACAGTGGGTCTTTTGCTTCCGACGCCCCTAATAACACAAACATCAGTCAACTTCAACAACTAGAAGTCCGCAAGTGGATTAAATTCCTGATTAAGCAGCAAGCCACTTGTAACAACCAGGTTTTACTCACACAGTGAAACAAAAATTGTCATCAAATAAGCATATTTCCAGGCACTCACAACTAGGGAAGTCATGTGCAGTTCCACTACTAGAAACACAAACATTTGTATCAAGAACAGCCACATACTGGACACTTGCCCACTCAGTTAAAATTTCTTTAAAAAGGGCTTCAGAACCACACTAGATTATGAATGTCAGAGGCATCTTGACTGCTTGCTCTTATCATTGTCCACAATGATGGAATACCAAAGAAGAATGTTCCCCTTCACAACATGGCCACAGAACTTACCTTGGGCCAGGACTATGCAGAACTTGGAAAACTTGGGTTTGTTGAAGTTGGTGTAGAGGTGATCCAAAAGGCCAAAACTTTCTGAAACCTGGAGTCACCAAAAATAATGACAATAACAACTATTTCACTGTTTCATGGCAGTCCCTCACGCAGCAGTTGCCAAATAGTAATGACAACTGGAATTGTATAGTTTATTAAAGTTTAGAAGTGCATAAATAGTAATTATTTATTATTAGAATTTATTATAAATTTTTGACAATTTTACAAAACAATAAAAGATCTCACAAGTTAACAAAAGTACAACGCTTCTACTGCAAGG